AGAAGAAGGTAATCAATCAGGTCAACAACATACTGTCACTGAGGATGCTGAAGGGGAGGCCTCACTGGAACCCGAAGTTGAAGGTGATGATGACGATGATGGTGACAATGTCGAAGGTGGTGTCGCAGAGGATGAGCCAGAGGACTATGTGTTCGATGAACACGATAATGTAGCTGGTTCACAGTCTCCGATTGATACCGATTCGGAGTTGGTTGAACCTGCTGAAGAAGATAGTGAAGTGACAAACGACGTTCCTTCTGCAATCGATCAAACTGAAAATCCAGAAACGTTTAAAACTCAGTCTGTTATCTCTTCGTCAACCACCACCAGGACAACTTCTACGTCCGGATCCAATCTGTTTTCTCTAACCCAACAAACCCCGGGTAGTTTGTTCACCTCCAGCTCGGCGTCAACCTCCGAATTTCCGGAATCTAAATCCGTTCTTTTCTCCTCATCATCCAATGAGCCGGTTGCGCCAATTTCCGGTGCCGGCGGTCTTTTCGGTACGACTCGCCCGTTCGCAGTATCGACTGCGTTCTCACCAGGACTAAAAGTGTGTCCGTTTAATGAACCTACCACTGGCAGCAGCTTCGAAAGCTTGGCTGCTGCTGCTGCTGCTGCTGATAGTTCTGTGAGCAATCTTTTCAAACCCTCTGTTATGTCAACTTCAACACCACCGAAATTTTCTTTGTTCGGTCATTCTACTGCGGGCATATCGGGTGAGTCGAGTTAGCGGATGTATTTTCTCATTTATTTATTTCGCCTTTCTCTTTTTGTATAATTGATCTGTGGTTAAACTTATAATATTGTCTACCATCTCCGATTATAACTCCAACAGAAACGACAGCTGCAGTCACTACCACAGCAGTTGTGTCCACCACATCAACCGCCACTACCGAAGGTGGATCTAATCGGCCTAAAATTCAACCGATAGTCTGGGACTATACTGCACTACCGAGTTCATCCGATCCTCAGAGCACTGAAGAATCCAGGCGCATCGGGGCCGGTCGAAGAAAGAAATGGGGCTCGGCAGCTCGTACAGGTCTTTTTTCCGGGACCGGACCATCGACCACTCCCGGTAGCCTTTTTGGTGCCTCACGCGGCGCAGGTACATCCGGTCCCGGTCCACTCCGAACGAAACCCCACCCTCGACGTTGACCGATCTTCTCTCTTCATTCCACGTACAATATTGCCTTTTCTCATCTTCTAATCCATTCATGGTTTAGATAAACGCTGGTCATCGTCATATTATCGTTGTTTCTATTGTTGGATACAAGATTTTGACCATAAACCGAGTGTGCTCTGTATCAAAACCGACTCGCCCCGGCAAAATATAGATGAGACGGCAACTAGACCTCGTAAATTACAGAGATGTTTGTCTGCTGAAGACGTAAGCATCGCCAATTTTTCCGACAACCGCTGAACAAGTGGAAGCATAGTTTCCCCGTAACGAATTCGAATATCGAAGCCAAAAACACAGACTT